GGATGAATTACTCTTTTAAACATGAACATTGTCTTCTAATACAGATGTGTATGAAATTTAGATGTTATTTATAGTTTCTAGTGTTATTTCTATCATTTAAATTCTTATGTTTATACATTTTTCCATCAAAAATGATTTTAAATCGAGCCCATCTTGAGCCGAGCTTGTACTCAGCTTGACAAGCTATGTTAATGAGCATTTATCGAGCTCTACCGAGTCGAGCTCGAGCTAGATTATTTTTATTCAAGCCGAGCTCGAGCTCGAGCTGGATTATCAAAATTCGAGTTCGAGCCGAGCTCGAGCTGAAAAATTAATAAACGAGCCGAGCTCAAGCTAAGCAAAAACTCGACTCGACTCGGCTCGTTTGCAGCCCTAGCCATGCCTTCCTATAAAAACCCGCTGAGAATCCATCAGGGCCAGGGGCCTTGTATGGATTCATGTGAAGAACAACAGCCTGAACTTCATCATCTGTAACATGAGAAATAAGGAATGCAATCTCCTGAGCCCCAAGTCTATTATGAACCAGTGACTCCAACCGATTTCTATCAGGATGAATATCAGGATTACGAACACCAAAGAGGTTTTTATAGAAGGAGACAGCCTCCTCTGCAATCTTCTCAACATCTGTAATCTCCTCACCAGTCCCAGTAACCAGCTTGCGGATTGCCCTCTTTGCTGTGTGAATTTTAACTGCCTGATGGAAAAACCTTGTACTCTTGTCCCCCAACTCCAAAACATTAACCCTCGATTTCTGCTTATACAGACACTCCTCAGCCTTTCTGAACTCATCCAACTTCACTAGCAGTTCTGATACCAGAGCAAAAGACTCCTCTGATGGAGATGTGTAAGCCTCAGCCTTTGCATAGAGAAGTGCTCGTTCTGTCTCCTTAACCTTTGTACTAATATCCCCAAAATTTTCCTTATTCAGTTGCTTCAAAGCTTTATTTACCATAGTTAGTTTCAATTGAACCCGATGAAGAGGGTGTACATCAATCTGTGTCTCCCAAGCCTTGCTAACAAGAGGAAAGAAATCAGAACTATCAGCCCAAAAATCGAAATATTTAAAAGGTTTTGGGAGGGACTTCTGAACTGGTTTTGAAGCCACCAGAATGCCACAGTGATCTGAAAAATGCACAGTCATAACATCAATACGACAGTCTGGGAAAGCATCAAACCACTTCTCATTCACAAAAGCTCGATCCAACCTCTTAGCAAGTGGATTACCAACTTGATTATTGGTCCACGTAAACTGAGGACCAACCACCCTGTGATCCACCAGTTCCATTGAATTTATCCAATTCCCAAAATCCCCCATACAACTATTGAAGTTACATCGTTTGAAAACATCCTCTGGTTTGAGTACTGCATTAAAGTCTCCCCCAACTATCCACGGCTGACTACTAACCTTGATTCTAGCCAATTCAGTATAAGTGATCCTCCTTTCCATCTCATCATTGGATCCATAAACAGCAGTGAGAAAACAGCTCTCCCCCTCCACTGACTTGACCAAACAATGGACAAAGTTCTTGCTAGGAACAAGAACACTTAATTCGATACTATCCGGATCCCAAAATAACCAAATACGCCTCAGCCCACTGTCAACGTAATTTAAGTGTCTCTTCCAACCAGCACAGAAACCTTCAGCCACCTCATCTACTTTATTCTTCTTTACCCTGGTTTTCAATACAGCAACTACATCTACTTTATTCTGCCTAAGGACCGAATGCAAGTCCCTACGCTTAGAGGGTTTATTAAACCCTCTAACATTTTGGAATAGGATAATCATTGAGAGGAAGAGGGCTGGGACCCTCCCTTCTTTCCACCCTTCTTCGGAGCTGCCTGCAGAGTGACAACTACACCCTCATCCAGTGATCTTAGCAAATCAAAAGAATGAGAAACTGGAAGCACACTAGTCGGGCTAGGCTGTGGTGACCAAATACGAGGCTTAGCACCATTAACAACAAGCTGAAATTCCGCCTCAGAGGGCAAAGCAGGAGAAGCACACTCCACTGCATCAAAACTGGTATCCAGATTGATCCCCTGCATTCGTGAAGCAACCCCAGGTGAAGTGCCAATCGAACATTCTCCAAATCCCACCAAATTGGTCCCAATCATGACCCCCCCAGGCCCCTGAATATCAACCGAGGCATCCAGGGAAGACGATGCCACTACCTTTCCCTTTTTCAAGTCAGTATCCTCCTGAACCTTCTGCATATCTACCTGATCCACCTGCTTATCAACCTGAGTCACCTGTAAAACCCTATCATTCTGCCCCTTCTCCGTTTCCTTCCTCACCCAAACCTGTGTATGACACTCACAGACCCCAAAAAGCCCACAAGATGTACATACAGGGGGGAGATGAGCGTAAGTTACTCCCACCTTGATAGAAGTGTCATCATCAAGCCAAATTAGAACATGATCCGGAAACTCCCCATCAGCCCGTAACTCAACCAAGATCTTAGCATACCCTAATCGCCGTCCCATTCGAGTAGTCTGGTCAACTCCCAATGGTACACCTAGCCAGCTTGCCGCCCTGCTAAGTCCCTGATAGTTAACATATTCGAGAGGAAGATTAGAGAAACGAACCCAGATAGGAAGAGCCTTGCGTCCCATGTCTTCCACATCAATTCCTGGTGCCCAAGGACGCAAGTAAAGTAGGTTATCCAGATAAAACCATGGTCCACTGTCCAGAATCCAGTCACATGTTGCCTGCGAAGGCAATTGAATCAGCAGCAGCCGATCCCCCAACAGAGAAACACGAACAAGCCCATCACGGCCCCAGATTTTGTTTGCCCAACGGCGAAGAATCGGGAGCTCCGGCATCTGATGTAAGAATTGCCCTACTAGACTGTGATTCCAGCGAAGCGAGCCCTCCTCACGAACACTTTGAGGCATCCGGAGACCCCCTTTGTAGACCTCAGGCTTGATGTAGGTTAAGCGATTAGCCTCAGAGATACCGAACAGATCCGCCCAAGGCTTGAGAGGAACCCCCTGAGATGACGCCTCTACCTCCACCGCCGAAGACGCCATCAGAAGAAGCAAAGGGAAAACGAAGAGGAAATGGTGACCGGCGCAGGTGCGGCACTGCAGGGGCCGAACCCTAGCTGGAAAACGATCCCCGCGCAAAGATTTGGGAGAATTTTCTCTCACTTTATTAACAACATTTCTAACCGTCATAAATATTACTTGTACTGTTGCCAACAAAATTTCTTCAAAACTACTTTTTCCATCGTGTCATCAGAGAATATAGATTCTGGCAAAAATAATTTATCGTAAAACATCAATAAACAATGGAGCATCTATTCTACCTCGTTACAAGTGCAAAATCAAATTATTGTGATGTCTCTTCAACTTCCAAAATTGCATCCCACAACTTCGAACATTCAAACTCACCAAACACAAATCATGAAAACCACAACCAAACACAAATCATGATAACCAATATAATAAAGAAGCATCAAACCAAAACCAATCTCACAACTAAACTAAAACAAACATCTAGTTTAAAAAAAAAGGGCTAATACCACTACAACACCCGAACTATCAAAAAAATGTCACTTATGTCCTATTGTATCAAATATTCCATTCATGTCATGAACTATTATATTTTGTGTCATTTGTATCCTGTCAATTTTGTTGACCGTTAAAGATAACAGTTGACCGAACGGCGGTCAACGTAACATTGACTTTTGCTTATGTGGCAATGCCAACTCATTGACACCTCACATTTTTTATTTAAATTACATAAAACTTTGAAAATAAAATATTGAAAAAACTTTAAATTCAAGAATATTACTAAATAATATTCTATAACCCCAAAATTAAAAAAAAAAACTATTCTCTACCGATTTGCCTCTCTCGCTCTAAAAAATTTCCCCTTCTGCCTCGCCATCTACTTCGTCAGGAACGCGTTCGGCGGCAGTCGCACCCCGCCATCGGCATAATCATCCCCCATCATCGTCCTCACCACACAGTGTTGGAAAGGCTTGCTCTCGTTGAAGAATTTCATCAACAAAGCGGAGTCGGCGGAATCAGACCGAATGGGCAGAGGAGATTCGATTCAGCGACTGACCAAACAAATCTGAGAAGAGCTCTGAAATTTGACCAAACAGATCTGACCGGCACCGACGACCTCCCTTCTCTCCTTGCTCTCAACTAATTCGTTGGCCGTCGATCGGATAGGGAGCAGTGAGTGGATGAGACTGGCGACCAGGGCGTTCTGGTGTACGCCCTGGCCTGGAGATCGGAGGTCTGAACCGAGGCTGCGGAGGAGGAGACGGAGTAGTGGAGGAAGAAGATCGCCGATGCGAGGGCGAAGAAGAGGTCCGGGGGGAAGGGGAGGCAGGAGGTGGAGTCAGCGAGGAGGATTGCGAGGGCGAGGAGGAGGAAGAGGAAGACGACGGCGGCGGACTGGAGGGAGGTGAATCGGTGGACCGGGGTGCGGCCTTTGAGTAAAGGGTCGGCGTCGGAGGAGATTAGGGTTTGGTGGGCGAAGGCGATGAGGAGGAAGGTGATGATTAGGTAGAGCTGGAGGTGACGGAGGCGGGAAGCGGCGGGGAGAGGGTGGAAGGGTTTGGCGGTGTAGGACTGTGGGGATTTCAGATAAGAGCGGGCGGAGGAGATGAGGTGGTATAAACCCAGGGAGATGAGCGGCTGTTCATCGCCGATTTAGGGCTTGGGGAAGAGGTTGGTGGGACGAGGGGTGGGTTAATTTTTTTTTTATATTTTAATTATTACCTTTTTCTTATTTATTAATATTAGATAGAAAAATAAATAAAAATAAATATTAAAAATTCCACGTCAGATGCCACATCCGCACTGACTGGACTTTCTGTTAAAAACAAACGGTCAACAAAAATCAACATTAACGGAATCATAGTTCAGGACACAGATGGAATATTTGATACAATAGGACACAAGTGTCATTTTTGCGATAGTTCGGGTGTTGTAGTGGTATTAGCCAAAAAAAAAAAAACACGCCAAACTTCAAAACCAATGCACTACAATCGCCACAAACAAATTTTCCAAAGATAAAGCATAATCATAATATCAACTATTGTGTCGACGCCGGCGAGAGTCGCTATTCCTCCACCGTGGCGATGCTCAGACGGTCAGACCATCATCGGTTATCGCTTTACTACTTCCTACGAACCTTGGAAACCTAAAAAACCCAAGAAAACCCAGTAATTAGAAATAGAACAAAAAAGTTAGAACCAAAATCCAAATCTTATAGATAGAGAATCACACATGCAAACCGCCAACCATCACTTACCGACTGAACGGGGTTGCCCGGACCATCAATCTTGCAATTCTTCTGGGATTTGTTCGATTTGCATAGAAAATAAAAGAAGGAAGGGACAAGACATGGGGAGTTGGGGTTGCCCAGACCGTCACGAGAGAAGTAAAATGTATATTTTTTTGTTGTTGACTTTCTCCAGTTCAGAGAAACAAGAGGGGAGAGCGGCAGAAAAATGAAAGATGAGAAATATTTAGAACTGAAGTGTGGCTAGGGTTAAGTTTGAGTCTCCAAGTATGCTTATATAACTATTTCATGACCAAATTACTCCTCCGTTCTTGCATTAAAATTACCCTTGCCAATAGAGTCTCCCCTTGTGAAACATGAAAACATAAATAAGAATGCTCACTTAGAGTGTTAACAAATTAATGTACATGCTGTTAATTGTTATCTTAACATCTTTGATTCATTTTTATTTTAAATGCCCTCAATACACGACTCACAATCAATAGAATGGAATAATGTTCTCATTTCTCAAACGTCATTCTCTCAAATTATCGATCTCGATTTCATGATTACCAAAGTACATTTTGTAAAGAAATTCAAATTATTATCTAATGACTTGTTAGTTGAACATGTTAAGATCCCTTTCAAAATCTATCAACTTGATCGAAGTATGTGACTTTGATCTCGACTACTCGGGTAAGTATGGAAAACCAATAAGCTCGAGTCTGACTAACCAAAAACTTTATGTATAGACAACTACTAGGGTGGAAATTGGTACTGTATTAATTCCAAAAACCAAAATGCTGACTATCAAATAGAGCGCTAATTCCAACACTCTCAAAATTCCGAATTCCAAAACCCTTGTCAATGGATTCAGATTTCACACTCGAAGACGCTAGTCAACCAAAAGCAGCCAGAATAGTGGTGTGTTTGTGAGAGGGGAGAACGATGCTGGAATTCCTTACTATGGCGTTCTTAATGATAACATTGAATTCATTATACTGCAGGGCTACGAGTTGTACTATTTTAGTGTGAGTGGTATGACACCGCTGGACACGACACTATTACCATCAACACAACATGAAGGCTTAGAATAAATGAGCCATTCGTTTTAGCCAATGTAGTCAAAATCGCATTTCTACTTAAAAAGCGTTTTAGTGATCTAGATGCGAAACAACAAGCTTGTAAGCTTAAAAGAACATTTTTAACTACAATACTTGTAAAGACCGTGATTTTGTGTAGAAAAGTTTTGGTGATCTAGAAATGTAAAAGAGTAATTTTTTAAATTTTAAAACGCGGTTTTGACTACATGGGTTCTAGCTAGTCAAGCAATTCAAGTTTATCATGTGCAGTCTTTGAGAGAGACCCTAATTGGGGAATAATGGTTGAAACAAGACCAAGAAATTTGTTTCACATGCCTTCTAGTGAAGGAGAAGGAGAATTAGAAGAAGCCTATCAAAAAGACAATATTTTAATTGATGATCCTGGGGTTCTCCAAAATGAGGAAGATGATCACTGATAGACCGTTAATTGCACATGTTTTTACCCATATTCTTACACCGTTTGAGATGTTGATTCTCGTGTTTTAGGCCGATTTCACGCTAGGTTGTTCTTGTTTGTGATATTTCAGGTCCTAGTACGTGAATGAAGGTTTGGGAACGAGTTCGGGGTCGATTGGACGAAGATCGGATATGTGGCGAGAAGCTGAGGAAGCCACAAAGGCACTCCTAAAACCCACACGGCCGTGTAAGGAACCCATGTGGCCGTGTGGAAATTACCGAGCCTACACACGGGCACACGTGTAGGAAGCCTGAAGTCCACTTAATCGAAACTCCGCGTTTTGACACTCACACGGGAAGCTGGGTAAGCCACACGGTCGTGTGGCCTGCCCGTGTGGTCGGGAAAATCTGGTTTTAACGAAAATTCGAGCCAAAGGAGAGAGAATCGACTTTTTGGAGCAAAAACAGAGCCCTAGATAGAGAAAGTGTGAAGAACACATCCTAGAAGCGATCTTGGAGCTGGGTTTCATCAAATCGAGCTCGGAGATCATCATAGGAGTGAAAATCATCATCCCAGAGCAGATTCTTCCCATTGTTATGAGTATGACTGCTTTGTATTTTGTTTTCCTCTCTCTCTCTCTCTCTCTCTCTCTCTCTCTCTCTATGGAGTAGAACTCTCTCTCACTTGGGTATGAAGAACCCTAGTTCCATGTGTTAGAAATCTTGATTGTAATTACGTTTGGATTGTGATATTGCTTGATTATAATCGATTGAAGTGTTTTGAATGAGTCAATTGAAGTCTGATCACCTTTTATTAATTTCTGCTGCAACCTGAGATAGATAGAATCTGATTAGGTTGTTAGAGCTTCTTCAATTGGTAGTAGTGAATCGATTATACGAGAGTTAGTCGATTCACTGCTTTGTACTGGAATCTAATTCCAGTAGTGGAGTTCTGTGTTCATAGCCTCAGTTTTCTATCCCGGTGAAGACTAGTCGTCTGCCGGGTAGTTGGACTGAGAGGGCTTGGTCAGCTTAAGAGATTCCAAGCTACTGACTGATCTTCCGCAGTATAATCAGCAGTAAAGCAACCAAAAGTAATTACAACTGGAACCTAACTAAGGAGCTAGGGGGACTCATTCCCGAGTGACTCTTCCATTGTTTCAGAAAACCGAACCATTTTCTGCTTTCTTACTGCTTTTGCTTAAATCAACAATCACTCGACTTAGTTAGCTAGATAATAGATATTCACGGAGTAGGAAGTAGATCTAGACCCCGGGTTGACATTAGAGCTTGCCTGTTACTGCATTTCTGGACTGCGATTACACTTGGTCGCAGTTTGGTGTTGCGTTTTAGTGTGTCAATCACATAAACTGTACTACGGCAGGTTTGAAGATTATAACTAATTTGGTCACGTTTGTAGATCGGGAAATCAATTGTATCCTTCCCGCATAGCTTAATGTCTTAGCATGCCAGCCCCTAATACGAGCAGTGATCCTATCTACCAAGACTTGACACTCAACCTTACTGATCTTATCTAAAATCAGTGGGACACCCAGGTAGCGAACATGAAGACAGCCAATAGGGAACCCTGTACAAGTCGAGATAATTTCTTTCTCTTCATCCGAAATACCCGCACAGAAGAGCTAACTCTTCTCGGGATTGCATTTAAGACCAGAAATCCTGTAGAATTCCTCCAACAATCTTCAAATGCCTACAACTGCCCTAACAAACCTGTTTGAAAAAACTATAGATCGTCTGCGAAACAAAAGTGTGTAATCCCCAACTTCTTGCATCAAGGATAGAAAGGTACTTGATTCTTAATAGCAGCTTTATGTAACAAGCAAGAAATAATCTCCATGGAAATGGTAAAAACGTAAGGGGAAAGATGATCTCTTGCCTTAGTCCTTTACCATGATTAAATGACCCATAGAGACCCCCCATTAAAAGCTATTATGAAGCTAGGCGATGTCACACAAGTACAAACAAGTTCAGTATAAAAATCTAGGAATCCGATTGTTGTCATTACTCAAAACAAAAAACGCCAATTAACTTAGGGGTCGTTTGGATGGGTCTTTTTAATGAGGCAATGTGATACAATTGACTCAAAATGAGACAATTAGGTTCAATTGCTCCATTTGGTAACCAAAAATAGAAACGAAACATTTTGGGACGGGGAAACTAGAATTGCCTCATTATGCGCCAATTCAGAATACCTGGGGTAGGGGGAGAAATTCTTAATTGACGCGTTTTCTTTCTTCTTTCCCAATTGTGTCCTTCTCTTGTTCCCCCTATCTCTCTCCAAGAGACAAAAACTGACAGACCCTTCTCACTCCTCTTATCTTCTTCTCTTTCCATTCTCTCTTGTAGAGACAACCTTTCTCTTCTCTTTCTTCTCTTCTCTTCTCTTCTCTGCATATACAACCCATTCTGTATCTCATTTTTTATTTCGTCTCTCTTTGGCGGACGAAGCTTCCATGGCGGATAGAGGAAAGAAGAATCAAACCTAGAACAGTTTTGCTCTTAAATTGAGTTCTTAGAGGCTGGATTCTTCTTCATCTCTCGTCCCTTTCTTGTTTTTTCATCTAGCTACGAGAAAGTTGACTTTTTTGAAGGAGTGAATAAGAAGGGGGAGCTCATAGAATAAAAGGGATTTCATCCTAGATCTTGTTTTTTTCCGTGAGTCTTGCCAACCAATGCCCAACAAGTTTTTGACGTCTAGATTCTGCATGCAAGGTGATAAAATGGGTCAATGAAGGTTTTAGTTAGAGGAGTTGGAAACCCAGAATAAGCTTTTACAAATATTTTCTTTTTGATTGTGGTGTATTAGCTGTCTAATTGAAATTTGGGCTTTGCTATAGCCTAGATGTAGCAAATCTCCTCTGATTTAATTTTCGATCGATGGTAACAAGTATAGACTTTTCATTTTCAAAACCAGGATTCATGCTCAAGTCAGGCGCTTTCATTGGCTGGAAAATATGAAAGCTCACTCGAGAGATGATGAAACTAACAGAAAGAACCCAGAAACAGGGACAAAAAACTTGCAGAAGACAAGGGTAAATTTGTATTTTCCAAAAATGGATCATCCGCATTTCTCCATATCACAGTCCATTCCAAACGATACATTGTGGGCAGATTTACTCATCAAATTGATTCATTTTCTAAAATGAGTCTTTTGGTTCAAATTGACTCATTTTGAAAATGACCCATCCAAACGACCCCTTAATCAAATGCTTTCATAAGATCAATCTTCACTACACAGCGAGAGGTAATGAAAGATTTGTGATAATCCTTAACTAACTCTGATGTCATTAAGATATTATCACTAATAATCCTACCTTTCACAAATGTAGATCGTCTTGGAACAAACATAACTTTTACTTTCGAAATTAAATTTCTTTCCTATAATTGTTAATGGATTTGTATATATAAGATGTGAGAGATGATTCGATGAAATTTGAATTGTGATTGACTTTGCAGAATATGAAAGGGAAAACTGGGTGGCTATAAAGCTTTTAGGTTTGACATCTAGCTAGAGAGAAGTACGTTCAAAAAATCTTTGAATTGTTATCGATAAAAAAAAATCCTTCAATTATCAATTGTCCCTCAACCTCCTCAATTTTATGGGTTTAGACTCATATCCCAACAACATCAGATTTTTTATAACTTCTTCAAAATTCGAGATATAGAATATTAAAAAAATTATTTTTACTGGCTCCCGAATATTTGCAGCCAATCCATACCCCGAAATTGGACGTAGAGTGT